GTGGAATACACATGCAAATCACATCTGGTTAGATGACAAGAAAAATACAAAACAAATAACGTCTATAAGGTAGAATTAGTGAGATAAGACTAATTACATGATTGAACATAATCAAATTGAAATAAATATATACATAATTGCATTTAACTAATAAAATTTTCCATTGATCATCTTCATAGGTTTGCATGAATAAGAGAAGCATGAACTTCTAACTTGAATGTTAAATTACTATGATATCCCAAACTTAGGTTGTGACTTTTTCGATGAGTTGTGACTTTTCCGATAAGTTGTGACTTTTTTCAAAGGGTTGTGATTTTTTGATGAGTTGTGACTTTTCCAAAGAGTTGTGACTTTTTCAATAAGTAGTGACTTTTCCAAATAGTTGCGACTTTTCCAAAGAGTGGTGACTTTTCTAAAGAGTTGTGACTTTTTCAATAAGTTGTGACTTTTCTAAAATGTTGTGACTTCTCAGAAAGGTCATGATCTTTCAGATAAGACACAAATAACATTTGTTCATACTATCCTTTGTTGACTATAAATAGAGAGACTTCCTCTCATTTTCCAACCACAATTTTTTTCTAATCTTCTACTCTTCTTCTTCTTCTTGCATTTTAAATTTCCTTGTGTAATTTATTGTCATTTAAGTGAGTTTGAAGTTTAGCGGAATATGAGGTACCACTATTCTGATGAAGTAAGTCGTTCTATCCTAAGATGGTATATTCCATAACCTCGAGTACTTGAGGAAAAAAATATAATTTTGATGATATTATGATTATTTTTTTTGCTTAATATACACATTAGTATGTAATGTTCCAATATATGAAGTTAACATGATGTAGTCTAAAGTCATTTATTTTTCTTAACAATTTCGATATATGCTTCTGAATATCTTTTTTCAAAATTTAGAGAATTGTCACGATTTGTTTTTGATGCTCAAGACAAAAGAATGATTTTATTTATCAATGTTACTTATGTGATTTAGACTCGCATGAAGTTTTCTTCAAAATAGTTATTACTATATAAACATTGCCCTTTTGTTTTACTTATTTACTATTTCTTAATATTTCAGTATTTTAGACGAAGAAAAGTTCATATGACTTGTAATAACGCCAATTGAAGTTTGTATTAGTTTAATTTTTATTATTTATTAACTAGCTAATTTTATGAGATAAATATTTTCGTTAATGCAAATATATATTTATATTTGGGTAGGTATTTGTATTTAAACTAATGTATTATATATGTCACAAATGTATTATCAAGTTAACGAGATCTTCTAACTTGAAAATATATTATTTTAAAATGTTCCGAGTTTTTTTTTTTTTTTTAAACTCACAACAAATGTGAAAATATGTGAATATATAAAATGTAGTTGTTCTCTTTACATGTTCATATGACATCTAAACAATTTAATGTATAATACACATGTAAAACACATCTGGTTAGATGACAAGAAAAATACAAAACAAATATTATCTATAAGGTAATATTAGTGAGATAAGACTAATTACATGATTGAACCTAATCAAATTGAAATAAATATGTACATAATTGCATTTAACTAATATAATTTTTCATTGACCATCTTCATAGGTTTGCTTGCATAAGAGATATATGACGATCCACATTGAACATTCACAAAAGAATCTGCAATATTATTTTTTGCTAAGCTTCTTAGTCAAATCTTTGCTTAACTAAACAATTCTATTTACCATAACGTATATTTTTGAAATTGGTAATCACGTGCAATGCAAGGAAGTATTGGGTTAGCGACGCTTTCAATCTTCATTAGTGTAATCAAGTTGGAACAAACCTAACATATTACATGAAGCTAATCAAAATGTGTTTGGTCATATTTATAGGTCCGGTTGAAAAAGAGGCGAGCTAATCATCAGAATGCAACTTCGGAAGGAAATACAGCTAACGTGAAAACTTTGATATTGATAATTAGGATACAAATGACT